GGTGAGGGAGGGACTCTGCCTCAAAACGAGTAACTGGTGTGGCGTATTAACATCGCCACTGGGGAGACAAAGGCGGCCGGTCGTGGTGGATACAAGTCCCGGGCGAAGCCGGGTAGTACAGCTAGTCAACCTGTAAAAGGGCGGAGATCGCCAAGCGTCGACCAGTGTGCAAAGCAGAGAGCGCGAAGCAGTGGAGAAAGCCTGGTCAAACGGCTGTGAGGAAGAGGACAGCACCATCGAATGCGCCGTGTGTTTGAGGGCACACCTACCAAAGACCAGTGTAAACAGACAAGACGTCACCGGGCATCACCGAGCGTCGTGCCAACTCGTCATCCAGCAGTGGAGAGAGAAAGAGCGCAAGAGCAGCACAACTCGGACGTCACCGGGCGTCACCGAGCGTCGTGCCAACTCGTCATCTAGCAGTAGAGGGAGAGAGCGCAAGAGCAGCACGACTCGGACGTCACCGGGCGTCACCAAGCGTCGTGCCAACTCGTCATCCAGCAGTGGAGAGAGAGAGAGCGCAAGAGCAACACGACTCGAACGTCACCGGGCGTCACCGAGCGTCGTGCCAACTCGTCATCTAGCAGTAGAGGGAGAGAGAGCGCAAGAGCAACACGACTCGGACGTCACCGGGCGTCACCGAGCGTCGTGCCAACTCGTCATCCAGCAGTGGAGAGAGAGAGAGCGCAAGAGCAACACGACTCGGACGTCACCGGGCGTCACCGAGCGTCGTGCCAACTCGTCATCTAGCAGTAGAGATAGAGAGAGCGCAAGAGCAGCACGACTCGGACGTCACAAGCAGAGACACGTAAGAGAGGCTCGCGGCGGCCACGCCCAACCCAGAGAAAACTTCTGGCCGCTGTTTGTATCCTCCTACACCACACAAGCTAACGACACAATTAATATTACGAGGGGACAACGCACACACAGCACGCACACGAATAAGACTTTTAAAAAATGTTTTATCTTTGCGTTCCAAAAAGGGTTGCCATTTCGAGGTGGTGCGTTCAATATCAACTGATCGTGCAAAGCAGTTGCTGCCGTCGAGTTACATGAATAATAAATGTTTTAGTCATTCATTTTCGTTAACTGCATAATTTCGCCAATGAAGAAGTATTTTTAGTCATTCATTTTCGTTAACTGCATAATTTCGCCAATGAAGAAGTATTTTTAGTCATTCATTTTCGTTAATTGCATAATCGAGTTACATGAATTTATTGACGTATACCTGCTTTCGCATAAGAGAGTGTCATGTGCTTGTTTATAATTAAAATTGCTTAACACCAACTGTCTGAGTGCTTCTATCCAAGTCCATGCAAAACTGTCTTATTCTTGATAACTGTATCCTGTGATGAGATCTGAAACTGAAGACCTAAAATAACAAACACACTAAGATAATCAGTAAATGTTTAATCGATGATAATCGTGTTATCCTGATTGATATAACTCTGGATAAACGAAACTAAGCCTAATTATCATAACTGCACACAGTAACATAATCGCAAGCATCTGCATAAATTACTACGAGTATCTCCGAGATTATCATAATTTATGCATATAATTACATACATTATCATAATTTATGCATGTTAATACACACATTAACATAATTGATGCGATTTGCGCATTTTTTGGAAAATTATTAATTTTTATTATTTTTATCAAAATTTCATAACACATACAACACCGCGGGGGCGCCGGAGTGGCACTACGTGGTTATGGTTCGCAGGAGACACTGCGGTTGTGCTGTATGGTCGCAGGAAGTGTTGCAACCAAGGTTTTCTTTTTTGGGGTAAATTGTTTTTTCGTGTTGGTGGTGTTCCTCGGGGTTGCTTTGCCTGTCCACCGGTTGCAGTTGCAACTGCGGTGGACAAACAGTACACATGCCGGTGAGCATGTACACGAGTGTGTCGGCAGGGTGGAGGAACTGGGGCAAGAGTCATGGAAGACCCTATGTGGAAGCCCCTGGAATCTGCTAGAGGGTTCGAGAAGAAAGGCGCGACCAGGGCGGAGCCAGGCCACGCTGGGTACAATAAAAGCAGCTGAGAGCGGAAGCTGAGCACTGCCGGTTCTGGGAGTGGGCTCGTATCGTCGTCGCTGTCATCTTCGCTAGATATTGTGCGGCCGGATAGTTGTTGGCTGTCTCGGTCAGCGCCATTGGTGTTCCACTGTCAGGTTTGTGTTTAGGCTCGGCTAGACGACTAGAGAGAGCTCATTTATATTTAAGCAATCTAAGCAATCAAAAAAAAAAGATCAATGGAATCTTAATAAATTTAAACTCTAACCCCGCTCTCTGACGTCACCACTGCATTACCTCATCGGCGTGAGGGGGAGGTGTACCCCGCCAGTCACGTCATGTTACCTGCTGTCATGTGACGTCACGAGACACCAGGAAGCTACCGATCCACGCGCGCGCTCATTGAGATCCGAGGTGAGAAGTTCACATCGTGGTTGTTATTTACCCAGGTAGAGCCTCGCTCCTCTCTCTCTTGTAGGGATATCAATTGAGTAGCAGCGAGTATGGAATCGATGTCCAGGTTGGAACATTACAACGCGGGGCCTAGCCATGAGGGTGCCTTGTCTCCTGCCCTCGCCTGATTGCATTTGCTTTAATTCTCTGCTGAAGTTTAATTTGTCTTCATCTGGCTCACTACTTTGAATTTTTTTTTCTTTTAAATATTTCTACAGTTTTTTTGCTCTTACCAGGCCAAGCCCACTTCAGCTGCTATACCGCTCTTGTTTTCAGAAGCGACCAGCCCACAACAAAGTGGCTTATCAACGTGTGGAAATGTCTGTCGGTCAAATACTCTAAACGCGTGGTGATGTTGACTCTAAACGTGGAGGGGAAAACCCTGAGGATCTCGAGGAAAATCCACGCGACCACGGGGAGAGAGAGAGAGACACGCAAACTCCAAATATACAGGAGGGGTCGCGATCGAACCCACCACCTCCTGTATTCCAGGAGAGGCAGTTAACATCTCCCAGCCACCATGGTGCACACTCGAGTACATGACCACAATGAGTCTCAGCACTCTAATTCAGGAGCGTTCTGCCGAGTTGGTTTTGCTGATGCACCCTTTAGACCGATGAACAACTATTTTAATGATAATTGTTTTTTACACTTCTATCTGGCAACAAAACTGACACCTTCTTTACGAGGAGTCATGTTTGCATAGACCACAATACCTGCAGTCATAATGAAAAAAAACATAACTCTGATAATGTATGCACTGTCCTTGAAATTGATTGGTCCACACCCGAGACAGCTTTCCTTAGAGCCTCGTCTCTCTCTCTGATGGTGCATTGTCTTTGAGTTGTGCGCCTTTTGGCGTCATCTGGTCCAACACCATGTGAGACTAGGCTCTAAGGAAAGCTGTCTCGGGTGTGGACCAATCAACTTCAAGGACAGTGCATACATTATCAGAGTTATGTTTTTGTTTGCATTATGACTGCAGGTATTGTGGTCTATGCAAACGTGACTCCTCGTAAAAAAAGGTGTCAGTTTTGTTGCCAGATAAAAGGGTAAAAATTTTTTATATTTTTTAATGGCAAATGAGATTCCAATGGTGTAAACTATTTTTATATTACCAACCAAGGCTCACAGAGCTGTTAGATCTTTTGTCAGAAGCCACCTGGCCATAGATGATAGCTCAACGAAATGGCTTTTCACGTGGAAGATTGTAGCAGCCAAATAATCTAAATGCATGTTACTAAATGTGGAGGGGAAAATCGAAGGACCCGGAGAAAAAATAATCCGAGTGAGCGAGTGTACTCATTTGTGTGAGTGTACTCCGTGAGCGTACTCTGCGTGCGTGAGTTCGATTCCAACCCTGACGCATTTATAATTGCAGTTTACATTTTTTTTTCTCTCTCTCCCTGTAGTGGCATTGATTTTTCTCCACATTTAGAAACATGCATTTTGAGAATTTTGCTGCAATACATTTCCATATTTTAACCCACTAAGTTGAGCTATCATTTGTGTCCAGGTCGATTCTGAAAAAGAGCTATGCAGCTCAGATGGCCTCACCTGGTAAAATAAAAATAGTGTACTGTGTTTGAGGGTTTTCCAATTTAATTTCTTATTTAGCAGTTAAAGATTATGTTTCAGGAGGGTCCTGCATTGGACTGTTTGACCACCTCCAAATATATTTTGAGTTTAGGTTTGGGAGAAAAACGGAAAACCCAGTGGAACACCAATGCCGACGGTGACGGCCGACGCCAGGATAGCGGCCACGGGCTCGAAGCGAGGGCAACCCGGCTCTTGTCCCAAGAAAGGAATCTGCTCCCCGCTGCCCTCCACGGTGGCACATCGCCGGCGGGGCTGCACGCTGAGCCCCAACTTTTCCAGGAGGTCGGTACCAGCAATACACTCGTGGCATAACACGCTCGACACGTATAACTCCTGGTTACACACCTGGTGTCCGAGGCGACCCTTAAGGGTGACCCTCCCCAGCAGTCCCATCCCACTTGCAGTGTGCAGCGCACGATCCGGGGCCTGTAGGCGGCTCACGTCAACCCCGACCACGCTGCAGTGTGTTGCACTCACGAGTGACGTTACCGCCCCCGTGTCCAGCAGAATCCGGGTACGCCGCCTGTTCACCTGCCCTTCCACGAGCGACGTGGCCCCCATTATTCCTGCCACCAGCTCCCGCAGCCAGTCACTCGCAGTCGCCGCATTCTGGGGTGTTGTCGGCATCTGCGTGGGGGTCACTCGCTCACCATTATCACGACAGTTTATTTGTGTTGGGACCACGTCGATTGCACCCCTCTGTGGTCCCCTCTTTAGGGAGGCCTTGGTGTTTAACCCTGGTGCTTCTCTCGCGCGGGCGATCTGGGGACAGTTTCTCACGAGATGCCCCCATTGGTCGCATAGATAGCACGCACGGGGAAGGGCGGTGGCTCCATAAGAGGCCCCTTGTCCACTCCCCCTTACCCTCCCAGTGCGCATTTGTTCGAGTTCTGCCTCTTATTGAGATACTCGCCTGGTTAGCCCCCCGACCATGGAGCGTAGCCCTCCCACCTCGGACTGGACTATCTCCGCTGTGGACTGCAGCTTGGTCACATTCAGGTGTACTTGGGTCACCTCCCCGCATACTTGGGTTACCTCCTCGCGTACTTGGGTCTCATGGCCTGTGATCTCCTATGCCGGTCTGTATCCCTGCCACCCATCCTGGGGTTGTCTCACGGGATCCCGGAGGCTCCCTCGTCCCCCCCCCCTCACCTCCTCCTCTGGAAGAAGACTTGCAATGGTTCTATCCCGTCCCAGCCGTCGGAATTCCGCACGCTCGCGAGCAAATCTCTCACACACACGCGTGCGCGTGCTCGGCAAGGGTGTTAAATGGGGGATATGGGCAGTTCGCATCTGGCTGCCACCCCGTTGTGCTTGTCAGATGCTGCTGAACTTTCTCGGCGGCAAGGTCATCGATGATCTCGGCAGTGTATCCGGGCGTGCGCTCTGTGTTAGCAAGCGTGATTTATTTTCGTGCGCGCTCACTGAGATCCGAAGTGAGAAGTTCACATCGTGGTTATTGTTGTCGTGGTGGTAGTTGTTGTTTACCCAGGTAGAGCCTCGCTCCTTCTCTGTCTTGTAGGGAGGCCGCTTTGGATTGCACTACTCTTCGATTTCACATTAACATGCTAATTTATTACATTAACATCACTAGCCCCGGCCACTTCTTTATGACCCTTGGGCTACACCCATTTCAAACCTTTTACAACAGTCTGCCTCAGCAGCAGACCATGCATTTTCTATCAGTGTTTTTGTTTGCATTCTGACCACAAGTATTGTGGTTAATGCACACATGATTCCTTGTAAAAGGTTTCAGTTTGGTGTTTTAACATCTTAACACCTGTTTCGTGGCCAGAAAAATGGGGAAAACCTATTCTCATATTTTGGTACTGGCAAAGGTCCCATGATAAAATATTGCAGTATATTAGAGGTGAGCCGTGCGTGTGTAGAAAGGACAGTAAGGAGCCGGAAGTTAATGAATTTTGTGGCAAAAATGCAGGCCTGATAATATGTAAGGATAATGTGGTAAATGAGAAAAATATAGCAGCAGCGGGGTGTTGGAGTGTGCAGGTGTTACAGGTGTTGAAGGTGAACAGGTAAGCTAAAAATTGTGTGAAAAACATAACTTACCCTTGAGTACGCATGGAATTTTTGATGTGTGTATGTTTCATTGTGTTGGCGCAATTTGGTTCTCAAAAAAACACAGTAAGTCTGCTTTATTTATATACATTTATACTCATCTTGGAATTTTTTGTATACGGTTTCTCCACATTTTTTTCAGTAATTTAATTTATTGGGAATACAGTACAGTACTTATTTCAATTGTGATGTATATTTTATATGCCGTTTACCTAACCCCATTATTTAGGTAAGGCTTAAATGTTGAATATCGGCATTTTAGCTTTCGCACGGCACTTTCCAAGAATGTAACCTCCGCGCTATTCAAGGGGCTGCTGTATTTTCTGTCCATCAGCTATAGCACAGGAGTACGGATTTTCAGCAGGAACTAGATCTCTGCTTTTTTGGTGTAATTACGACCTATAGTACTATAAAGAGGCTTGGGGTTTTGGATTGTTTTTTGTTTTCGATGTCTCTGCCTCTGTTCACATTCGTTGAGTATTTTTATGATTTTAGGCAGACCCATCTAAAGCTGCGTGACCAGGAGTCAGGGCCCTTTCCTGTTCAATTTGGCTTGTGGCTGAAATTCTCTCTGGCCCATGCATTACATTACGTAGCATTTTCAAATAATGTGTTTTGAGAAGCTCACAATGGCCCTATAAAAAATTTCATTTCATACAGTAACAATGATACGCTAATCTATGTCCCCTGCTGGTCAACCATGTTACGCATGTTGATGATCTGGTCATGGCTACTCAATGATATTGAATTGGAGAATCGTGTTCTGTACTTGGAGAATTCCATGACGAAATGGGGCCTTGCATATGTTCTACAAAAAGATCACCTCCTTGGGAAAATCTTGACTTAAAGCTTTCGTAACTGCAGGAATTCATATTCTTTGGGTCTTTCGGTTAAGTGACGTGACTTTACCGAAAGACCCAAAGAACACCTCCCTGGGAATTTAATGTCATACAGCACTGCACCTGCTCAGCTCTCCATGAATAATCAGGTCGTTCTACACATGGTTGAGGAGCTCCTATACCTCGTTAATGTGTTCACGACCAGCTCTGGTTTGACATCCAAAGTCTCACTTCAAATTAGTCTAGCAGCATTCTTTCATTAGGCTCTGTAACACTATGTGGAAGCTGCCTGGACTTTTTTACATACAAAGCTGTGAGTGTCCATTGCCAAGGTCTAGTCCATTGCAAAGGTCTTGTCCATTGCAAAGGTCTCGTCAAAAAAACAGGCAATAGTCTACATTATAGACTGCCAATTCACTCACCGAGGTTAAGAACCAGGCTACAGTCTATATTATAGACTGCCAGTACGCTCACCGAGGTTAAGAACCAGGCTACAGTCTACATTAGTCGTTTTTTTCTTCTATTCACTTTATTCGTATTATTATTTTCTATCTACGTGACTTTACCGAAATAACCAAAGAATATGAATTCCCGCTATCACAAGTTTTAAGTCAAGATTTTCCCATTGAGGTGATCTTTTTGTAGAACATATGCAAGGCCCCATTTCGTCATGGAATTCAACAAGTACAGAACAAGATTTTATAAGAATGGAAACAGTCAGGAAATTAACACTGCACATATGCAGCTGAAGTTAGATCTGTTCATCCTCGCATTCAAGCTCATCTGAGCCTGGCTTCACACCTCTAAGTTGCAAATGAACATTAATTTATACATTTCTGCATAATACAAATAATATTATTTTCAACAGACTTTGCTATGTTAGCTACTTTTTCTTAAATAAATATTCCTGTCGTAGCTAGACAACCGAAATTGTGTGCTTGGAGTTTTTGGTAAACATTCATTTTGAAGACACTAGGGTGTCCAGGCATATTTATGACCATTGGCCCTCTCATTGTGTACCTTAGCAGCCCGCGTGATGAATTGGGGAATTATTTTCACTATATCATGAAAATATTAATAAGTATAGATGTTTAAGTCATGTGTGACTGTGTATATATGCATTCATCTGTGCCTTGATACTGACGTAGATGGTGTGGATGTGTTTTTCTGTCTGCAGCTGACGCTTCCTCTGACTCTTCCTCTGCAGAATTGGTCTGATGGAGCAAAGGGACTCGGCGCAGCTCGGTACAAGAAGGAAACAATGCGACCAGTATGCAGACAGCACGGATCGTACTGGAAGTTTGACACAGCACCAGAGAACTCACACAGGAGAGAAACCATTCAAGTGCACTATGTGTGAGAAGGCATTTGCACAGTCATCAAATCTTCAGAGCCACCAGAGAACACACACAGGGGAGAAACCCTTCAAGTGCACTGTGTGTGAGAAGGCATTTACAGAGTCATCACATCTAAAAACACACCAGAGAACGCACACAGGGGAGAAACTCTTCATGTGCACTGTGTGTGGAAGCGCATTTGCAACGTTATCAAATCTTCATGACCACCAGAGAACGCACACAGGAGATAAACCCTTCAAGTGCACTGTGTGTGAGAAGGCATTTGCACAGTCATCATATCTAAAAACGCACCAGAGAACGCACACAGGAGACAAACCCTTCAAGTGCACTGTGTGTGGAAGTGCATTTGCATGGTCATCAGATCTTCACGACCACCAGAGAACGCACACAGGAGAGAAACCCTTCAGGTGCACTGTGTGTGGGAAGGCGTTTTCACGGTCATCAATTCTGCACAAGTACCAGAGAAAACATACAGGAGATGGACCCTTCAAGTGCACTGTGTGTGAGAAGGCATTTGCATGGTCATCAGTTCTTGAAAAACACCGGAGAACACACACTGGAGAGAAACCCTTCAGTTGTAGTGTGTGTGGGAAGGCATTTTCAGATTCATCTGTTCTTAAAAAACACCAGAGAACACACACTGGAGAGAAACCCTTCATATGTAGTGTGTGTGGGAAGGCATATTCATATTCATCTGTTCTTAAAAAACACCAGAGAACACACACGGGAGAGAAACCCTTCAGGTGTAATGTGTGTGGGAAGGACTTTTCAGATTCATTCGCCCTTAAAACACACCAGAGAACACACACGGGAGAGAACCCTTTCAAGTGCACTGTCTGTGAGAAGGCATTTGCAGAGTCATCAGTTCTTCAGATCCACCAGAGAACACACACAGGAGAGAAACCCTTCAAGTGCAGTGTGTGTGAGAAGGCATTTGCACAGTCATCAAATCTTAGAAAACACCATAGAACACACACAGGAGAGAAACATTTCAAGTGCACTGTGTGTGAGAAGGCATTTTCAGATTCATCTGCTCTTAAAAGACATCAGAAAATACACACAGGAGAGACACCTTTCAAGAGCAGTGTGTGTGGGAAGGAATTTTCAAGTTCATCTGATCTTAAGATCCACCAGAGAACACACACGGGAGATAAACATTTCAAGTGCAGTTTGTGTGAGAAGGCATTTTCAGATTCATCTGCTCTTAAAAGACATCAGAAAATACACACAGGAGAGACACCTTTCAAGAGCAGTGTGTGTGGGAAGGAATTTTCAAGTTCATCTGATCTTAAAAAACACCAGAGAATACACACAGGAGAGAAACCCTTCAGGTGCACTCTGTGCGGGAAGCTCTTTGCAGATTCATCACATCTTAAAAAACACCAGAGAACGCACACAGGAGAGAAACCCTTCAAGTGCACTGTCTGTGAGAAGGCATTTGCATGGTCATCAGATCTTCAGATCCACCAGAGAACACACACAGGAGAGAAACCCTTCAAGTGCACTGTCTGTGAGAAGGCATTTGCATGGTCATCAGGTCTTCAGATTCACCAGAGAACGCACACAGGAGATAAACCCTTCAAGTGCACTGTCTGTGAGAAGGCATTTGCATGGTCATCAGGTCTTCAGATTCACCAGAGAACACACACAGGAGAGAAACCCTTCAAGTGCACTGTCTGTGAAAAAGCATTTGCATGGTCATCAGGTTTTCAGATCCTTCAGAGAACACACACGGGAGAAAAACGTTTTAAGTCCAGTTTGTGTGGGAAGGTATTTTCAGGTTCATCTCATCTTAAACGGCACCAGAGAACACACACAGGAGAGAAACCCTTCAAGTGCACTGTCTGTGAAAAAGCATTTGCATGGTCATCAGGTTTTCAGATCCACCAGAGAACACACACGGGAGAAAAAGTTTTAAGTCCAGTTTGTGTGGGAAGGTATTTTCAGGTTCATCTCATCTTAAACGGCACCAGAGAACACACACAGGAGAGAAACCCTACAAGTGCACTGTGTGCGGAAAGGCATATTTAGATGAATCACATCTTAAAATACACCAGGGAACACACACAGGAGAGAAACCCTTCAAGTGCACTCTGTGCGGGAAGCCCTTTGCAGATTCATCACATCTTAAAAAACACCAGAGAACGCACACAGGAGAGAAACCCTTAAAGTGCACTGTCTGTAAGAAGGCATTTGCATGGTCATCACGTCTTCAGATCCACCAGAGAACACACACAGGAGAGAAACCCTTCAAGTGCACTGTCTGTGAGAAGGCATTTGCACAGTCATCAGTTCTTCATCGACACCAGAGAACACACAGGCATCAGAAGATCCCCAAGGAGTGTAGTCTGAAATCGACTTGTGAAAGTCAAAGTGCTGCAATGAGCCCATCCCTCCTGAAAAAAGAACCAGAAGTACATTCCAGCTTGGACACTATGAAATGTATCAAGGTGAAATGTGAAGAGGCGATAGTGAAGAGCGAAGAAGTGAAGGTAAAATGTGAAGATGTGATGGTGAAGAGCGAAGATGTGAAGGTAAAACGTGAAGATGAAGATTCAACTCCAAAATCGGACCTTCACATCGATGGAGGCAACGTGAAGCAGGAGGAGAATTCTGACTGTGAGGCAGAGCGAGGAACCTCCCAGGAATTTGTGGAAGTGGAGGTGTGGGTGGACTTCTTAGACAAATCAAAGTCAAATGGAGACCCGGTAGATGTGTAGTGACATAAGAAGGGAGGGGTTGCTGGGGGCTCTGGGATCCCAGGCGAGTCCAGACGCTTAAGCCTCTGGGCGCCAGGCGCTGGGTTCCCAGGGGGTCCAGACGCTTAAGCCTCTGGGCGCCAGGCGTTGAGTTCCCAGGCGCTTAATCCCCTGGGCGCCGCCAACGGGGGTGGGGGGGGGAGGGCTGTGTGTGCTCTGTGGGATGTCTGGTGGCGCACACGGCCCCACCCCTCGTTGGACCAGGCATAAAAGGAGAGCTCCCTGGACGATCGGGGCCCAGTTGTAACTCAAGACCCAAGACCCACGATCAGCCATCTGAAGACCCTGGGATGCTGTGAGAGCCAGCGCTGGGACTCTGGAACTCCCGACTCTACGACCTTGTGAGGGCGAGCGTAGCCAGAGTAGAGTATCTAGAGTATCTAGGCTGTGTAGCTAGGCTGTGTACCTAGGCTGTAACAGAGTATCAGGACTGTTGGAGTGTTGTATTGTAATAAAGAAGTTACATCTACAAGTGTCTCCGGAACCCGTTACAGATGTGTAAGCTTGAGACAATGAAGCCCCAGTAGATTCACCTTTGTCACAGGCCTTTAATGAAAGAATGTGAAGTTGAACACTCAATTCTTAGGTTCAACCTGCAGAGTAAGAGGGGGCAGTATTTGCAGACCTGTGGGTTGGGTATACAGTGATCCCTCGTTTATCGCGGTTAATGGGGACCGGAACCCCTCGCGATAGGTGAAAATCCGCGAAGTAGGATTGGCCCCCTAGGAATTTCCGTATATGTGTGTGTGGGTACCAGAATGTTTAAAATATGTATATTTATACTTTATATATATATTTTACTTAAATCTATTTAATTATAAAACCTTAATATTATACATTCACTCTCTCTCATACAATACGTATTATGGTGTTCTACACTCACCAATGACAGTAGTATCTTGAGACTTGACTCCAGTAATGACGACGATGACAACGATGATGCGCAGCCAATCAGCTCACGGGATACATCCACTCGTGCTCTCATTCGTCGATCTCGCGCCGGGAACCAATCACGTGCCTTGTCTGAGTGCCCATGGGTATGTGCAAAGCCTCTGAGAGAGTTTCTCTCTTTGTCTGGCATCCTGGGAAACCGTTTTTCTCGCGCATCACGATGAAATGACGCTGCTTTCCGCAATACGGCTGCCGATATGGCGGTATTTTTGAATTTTTATTTTTCAATGAATATTTTTGAAAAATCCGCGATGCACTGAGGCTGCGAAACTTGAACCACGAAGTGGCGAGGGATTACTGTATCTATATCAATTTATAACATTTTTGACATGCGTTTTTCTGGATTTTGTTGTTATTCTGTCTCTCACTGTTCAAATAACCCGACCATTAAAATTATAGACTGATAATTTCTTTGTCAGTGGGCAAACGTACAAAATCAGCAGGGGATCACATGCTTTTTTCCCTCACTGTAAATAATATATTTTCTTTACTTCCAACCCGTGATGAGAGGACGGAATACATGGTGACAGCAAGCACACCCTTGCACAATAGGTCACGACTTCAAAGGCCACAGCGCCCCTTTTTGACAGAGACTGCAAGTCTGATGCAAAAAATGTTAAACACTTCCAACCCGTGATGGAATTGTGGGGAACGCTGCCCAAAACGAATACACACAAACAGGGATAGAATTGTGTTAAAAGCTTTCTTTTCATCACATAATCTTGCCGGCGAATGTATTAAAGCCTTTAGCCAATTGATGCACATTTGTTAGACAAGCAAGCACACTACCGCACACCATTGTTCCAAGGCATTACGTTAATTGCATAATCTAAAAAATGAATTCATTGAGGTCTACCTTTGCTTAGGCACATGTTTCTTTATTACTGTTCGTATGAATATTGTCACATTAATTAAAAAACTTTTTCCTGTCGCTGTGTATGATCACCTTACTCTGAAGAATGAGCCAATTGTTCTGTTACCCAGTTTGACAAACATAATTATTGAGGGTTAAATGTACGGTTCAATGAAGACATCTCCAGGAGTACTGTGTTGGCATTCCTTGCATAAGAGTTCGCATATTGGAATGTTACGTGTTTTTTAGAGATTAAAGTTGCTTAACACAGAAGAGTCTGAGTGGTGCCTTCCTAAGTCCATGCATAATAATATTAATTATAAGAACTGTATCTTGCGGAGAGATCTGCATTTTGAGACCTGATATAACACACTAAGACATAATCAGTAAAAGTTAAAGTGAGAATCATTGTATTATCCTGATTGATAATTCACTGGTCAACACTTTTTCTGGCATAAGGTATTCCAACGGTCTTAATGTAATTTTGGGGTGCTGATTCCAAATCTGGCATCAGTTTGTGTCTATCACATCAGGTTTTTGAGATATCAAATAATGCATTTTCAATAAAAACTGCAGAAGAAAAATATTAAATAAATGTGGATATCTACATAAATTTATTATAAACACACTATCCTAAAAATACAGCACCATATTTTAACACTAAAGCAGTCACTGACTCGCAACAACTTGCAATCATAAGTGACAGAGTTAATTTCGGGTAAAATCAATGAAAATGGGGTATGCCGATAGCATAAAATGAGATGTGATAGAGCAAATCTGAGATCAGATTTGGAATCGGCACCCTGAAATAAGTCTAAAACAGCTGCAAAAGTCCAGGCCAGAAAAAAATGTTTTTTTTATTGACCAGTGATAATACAACCCTAGACAACGACGCAGAACCTAATGATAATAATTAAATGCATTAGCATAATTACATACACTTGCATAACTGAAAACAATTACACCTACCTAATTAGCATACGCGCAACATTTTCATAATTAAATAAATTAGCATAACTTCGGGAAAATTACAGTTTTTAAAAAATTTCATTTTTTACATTTTTAAAAATTTTCAGACCGAATATATACAACAGGTGGAAAATGTATATAAGCAAGAATGCAAGAATATAAATCAGCACTGCTCAACGAAACGCCCAACTGCGACTGGAGAAGTCCAAACCATCAAGCACATCACCAATGAATGCTCCATCCATGCACATCCTGGCGGTATCGCTAAAATCCACACTGCATCAACCACATCATTGGACTGGATAAGGAACCTTTGCATTCATTCATGACGATCATTAAAAATAAAAACTGTTGCTTTTCACAATGCCATACTCAAAAAGAACTGCGAGTCAAGCTCCGGGGATTGCCCTCGTGACTGGCAAATTGATAGGGAGCTCTGCATCGTCAGAAGCCACGCGTCACGGAGAGTTTTTTGTTGCATCATTGAGAGAGGCTGCTAGCTATGGCTGGTGCTCGCAGTATTGCAATCCAGACGTTGGGAAGAGTGACATCGCTCTGGGCAGCAAACACGACCATAGAGTGACAATCGTTCGGATTGTGCTTAGATCAAAGTCAACCCTTTGAGGGAAAACTGGTGCAACCACTATTCGTGAGAGTGCCCCTTGAAATCGCAACCCACAGGCAAAGTTTAGTTGAGGGTCAGATCAGAGACTGACACGGAACGATATACAGTAACTTGATCTGTAGCGTGTCCTCTGTGCAGCACGAGTCGTACAAACAACTGGAAGAGGACTCTCTTGAAGAGGGGGGGGGGAGACGACAGGCGCTGTCTCTCCAACTCACTCCACAGTCTGCAAGGATCAACAGTGTCTGGTGCGAGTGGTTTATGGTGACGGGATGATCGCGCACATCGACGCAGACGGAGCCGGACCCATCATCCCTGCCAGCACGGGCACTGCCGACAGAGTGACCAGCGTGCCGACTCGGCAAGCAACTCAGCGGTGGAGAGAGACTGACGAAGCAGCCGAGAGCGCCGTGTGCTCAACACACACGCTGACCCAGCGCTCCTGCTGGGGACCTGAGGTATTTTCATTACAAGGAACGCAGCACCTCGGAAGCCGCAAGAAGACAACAACCACCATTCGCCACGAAGTGGCGGTGACGTCACCACGACGCTTGTTCCAGACTATGTTTTTAAGCTTTCAGTTTCATTTATTAGGTACTAGCGGTAAGTACCCGGCGTTGCCCGGGTGAAAAATATCTTTAAAACCTTCTCTTAAAAATTTCCATTTAAAGCTTTCGTGACTGCAGGGATTCATCTTCTTTGTTCTTTCGGTAAATTCACGTAGAAAGGAATTCTCACGATGTTTCGGCCACAACGCAAGCAGCCGTCCTCAGGTGAAGAACAGGTCTGTCGGAAAGACGGCGTCTGAATGAACACCACCAGGCTTGGCAGCGTATATTTAAGCTGGGTTGGAGGGGGAAGAACGCCTTGACAAAGGAATTGCATATCAAAAGGAATTTAGCATATTTATGGAAAATGCAGATATGGGATGAGTCACTACTTGTGGAATGAGTTACAGCAGCAGAGGTTAGTGTAAATGCGATTGGTATTACCTTAGAGTCGCGGCATCTCTTCATAAAGGTGAGAGACTCGATTAGCTGAGCCTTCTTATCACGGAGTTTATTGTCTCTTAAAAACCTTATATATACACACACAGATACTAAGGTATTGTGAAAGCCTGGTGGGCCGTTTGTACATTTCTCCAACAACAAAATTATAAGAAGCTTGCAAAAGTCCAAAAAGTTGTAGAAATTGTGGGGTAAATAGTTGATGTAAAAGGTTTCCGAAAATTGTGGACACCCCTCCTCAAAAAATATATTTACACCACCCTACATACAACAGAGGAATTAGTATCTATTGACTCTGTAGTTGTATCTACTGACTGTACAGTAGTATCTACTGAGCCAGTAGTAAGCTATTGACTGGAGTATTATTTACTGATTGTAGTAACGACTGACCGTAGTAGTATCTGCTGGGCCTACAGTAGTATCTACCGACTCTATAGTAGTAACAACTAACTGTATAGTAGTGTAATAAACCTTCTCGAGACGGCTTCCGGAATCAGTCCTTTTATTTTCCAACTTCCACAGGGTGGAAAAGAATTTAGCACCCGATAAAGCATCCAATGAGTCATCCATCCTCGGTAAAGAGTACGCGTCCGCCACCGAAATTTTGTTCAACCGGCGGAAATCAACGCAAAATCTTGTACCACCATCTTTTTTCTTAACCAGAACGATGGGCGCGCCCCAAGGGC